ACCTGAACAGGAAAGTCACCCATCGCAGTCCTCGTCACTCACACTGGTCACATGAACAGGAAAACCAGCCATCACAGCCCTCGTCACTCACACCGGTCACCTGAACAGGAAAGTCACCCATCGCAGTCCTCGTCACTCACACTGGTCACATGAACAGGAAAGCCAGCCATCACAACCCTCGTCACTCACACCGGTCACATGAACAGGAAAGCCAGCCATCACAGCCCTCGTCACTGGTCATCTGAATCTGGCTAAGCTTTAACTAGGAGTTGCAAATCCATGCTGTCCTAAGGGCTGCAGAGGACGCGGCTGCTCCGTGTTGTTGCTGTTCTTAGAGGCCGTTGAGTATGACTTCTGGCGATGCTGTGAACAGATCTGAGCCCTGTCCTGTCCTGTGCCCTCCTCATCTGACACCTGAGCCCACTGGTTGGGTCAGCCAGCCCATCTTGTTGAGGGTCTGCCTCTCTTGCACGGCTGCCCCACCTTTCCCTCCCCAAGAAACAAAGTCTCCTAGCAGCGTGCCCAAAGTACGAGACAACTCTCTGCCATTCCTGCCTCCAAGCAGCACCATCAAAGTTGGTTCCGCCTCACAGAGACCCATGTTCCATGGAGGAAGCTGTGGTGGTCTGTCTGCTGGACAGGAATCTGTGCTGTGAACTTGGAGGCAGGCAGCTGCGATGGACAGCCTTCTCAGCTTCTCATGGACAGCCCTCCCAGCTCTGATGCACAGCCCTCCCAGCTCTGATGCACAGCCCTCTCAGCTCCGACAGACAGGCCTCCCAGCTCCAACAGACATGCCTCCCATTTCCGGCGGACAGCCCTCCCAGCTCCGGCGGACAGCCCTCCAAGCTCCGACGCACAGCCCTCCCGGCTCCGATGCACAGCCCTCCCAGCTCCGGCGCACAGCCCTCCCGGCTCTGATGGACAGTCCTCTCGGCTCCGATGGACAGTGCTCTCCTCCAGTATGACTCCCTCCTCTTGACACTGCTGGATGCTCAGCCATGAGTCAGTCGTGACAGAGAGCAGAAAGCTGAATGGCTTTTGGTTTTTTCCAAAGAAGGAAATCCTGCCTGGCCCTGGACCACTTTCCTCATCCTCTTGCACTTAAGCCCATGGTTTCAGCTGAGGCATCAAGGTAAGTCCTTGAGGGGCGTCCACTGATTTGGTACCCTCCACTTTACCAAGTATGAAGTGTGCCTTGCTCCAAGGACTGACCCTTCCTGATTACACGCCCAGAGCCCGTGAGTCAGAGTCCCCTCCTCCTGCCCTCCACAGCGTGCTCTGACCGCACGAGCCAGCAGTGATGTGTGTGTTCTCCTGGCCATCCACGGCATGGACAGTCCTCACAGCATCACAGGTCAAACACATCGATTCTTCTTCTGTGTCTCTTATTCATCATTCAACATCCACAAGCATATACACTACTACCAGACGTCCCAAAGATGGGGACAAGTGGGTCTCAGTTGTTAAACTAACATCTTTGTCCTTTTGTTGTTGTTGTTGTTATGTGCCGTCGAGTCGCCTGTGACTCTTAGCGACCCTATGTACAACAGCCCTAAACTCCGCTCTGTCCTGTGTCAATCGCGCTGTCTCCGACACTCCCATCCCAATTATCCCAGTCACTGAATCAATCCACCTCATAGAGGGCCTTCCCTCCTGCGCTGTCCCTCCACCCTCCCAAGCATGATGTCCCTCTCCAAGGACCGGTCTCTCCTCACAACATGTCCAAAGTAAGTTAGACGGAGCCTCAGAATCCTTGCCTCCAAGGAGCCACCCGGTTTAACCCTTTCCAGGACAAATCTGTCTGTTTTCCTAGCAGTCCATGGTATTCTCAATACTCTTCTCCAGCACCACAGCTCAAAGGCATCAATTCTCCTTCTATCCTCCCTGGTCATATTGCACATAGGATTTTCAGAGGCCTGATATTTCAGAAGTGGATGGCCAATCCTTCTTCCTAGTCTGTCTTTATGTGAATGTTCACATTTAGAGAAGTATCAGACAGACCAGCAAGTTAAAGGTATATCCCTTATTGCAGCATTAACTTTAGTGTCAGTGCTGTCCCTGCCTTTCTCACACGCGTCTTTACCCACTTATTTCCCTGCTCCATCATCCACCAGGATACCCATCCACCTCTACCCCCTCCCTTCACATCTGTCCGGGACATTAAAATAGCCCACACCACAGATTTCCAAGGCAGCCCATCTTCTGACGCCTTGACTGCTCCTATGATGGGTGACAGCTATAGATTCAGGCAAAATGAAATCAGCGGCAGCTGCAGTCTCCTCTCCAGCCACCAGATGTTGTCCATTGGTCCAGCGGTGAGGATATTTGTTTTCTTGATGTTGAGTTGTAACTCACATTGAAGGATGTGTCCTTTGATCTTCTGAAGCGAGTGCTTAAAGTCTTGTTCTCTGTCAGCAAGTAAGGTTGTATCGTCTGCATGATGCAGGCTATTGATGAGTCTTCCTCCAATCCTGACGTCACATTCTTTTCAGAGTCTAGGTTCTTGAGTTATTTGCCCAACACGTCATTTAAATAGTAATGGAGAAAGGATATAACCCTGACACACCATCTTTCCTGATTTTCAGTCATGCAAGGCTCCTTTCTTCTGTTTGGGTAACCGCTTCTTGATCTAAGTATAGGTTTCTCACGAACATAGTTAAATGCTCTGAGATTCCTATTCTCCATTTTAGCCACGACTTATTTTGATCCACACAGAAAAATCACTGTTTGTTGTTACTGCTGTTGTTAAGTGCCATCAAGTCACCTGAGACCCATAGTGACCCTATGGACAGCAGCTCTGAACTCTGCCCTGTCCTGAGCCAGTCTCAATAATTCTGACACTCCAACCCCCAATTGCCCCAGTTTCAATCCATCTCATCCAGGTTCTCCCTCTCCTGCGCTGTCTGTCCATCCACCCTTCCAAGCATTGATGTTCATCTCCAAGGACCAGTCTCTCCTGTCCATGTGCCCAATGAATGTGAGACAGAGCTTCAAAATCCTAGCCCCTAAGGAGAAACTTGGCTTCACCGTCTCCAAGACAGACCTATTTGTTCTCTTGGCAATCCATGCTATGTTCAAGACTCTTCTCCAGCACCACAACATGAAGGCATTGATTCTTCTTCTGTCATCTGTAGTCATCCCTTTGTATAATTAATAAAACACAAGCAGAAAATACTGAGTTTTTTATCGATCTTGCAAAACATGAATTCTGACTTGGTATATCAGGAGTAGCAAATCAAATGAACATTTGCGTTCTGGTTTCAATCAAACTTGTTAGGAAAACTTGTTAGCTTACCAGGGGGCTCTGGTGCCACAATCTGAAGGGTGTTGGGCTGCTAACCTCAGGGTTGCTGGTTTGAATCCACCAGCAGCTCTGAGGGAGAAAGGTGGACAATCGTGAGTTTTGAGCCTCTGAAAACCTGCTGGAGGGTCAGCTCCGAGCCAGCACCAACTCAGTCGCGATGAAGGAGGTGGCAGGTGAGGTCACCTGCAACGCGAGGTCTGCTTCTGCTAATTGTTGTCTTCCCCACATTCTCTAAAAGGAAAAATCCCCAAGTTTCTCACCGGCAATACAACCCTCATTCATGATTAGAGTTCCTGAACAAAACCATGAATGAGCGTGTATGCCCTTAGGGTGGAAACAGCAGATTCTTCTGGACCTTCTGGGTCTGCGTGAGCACCAACAGCTACCCCGGGCTCTCCTCTGAGTTCCCAAGTTCACACAGCGTGGCAGATTTGTGCCGACTTCAGTTTCAAGAGCACAAGGCATCAGAGAAGCAGGGGGCCCATGAAGCCTCCTAACTTCTTCACAACACTGACTGCTATGCACGAGAAACCGAAAAGACCTGGTGCTGCCCTCCCCGCAGCGCCCTCAGCACACCTGTCCTTGCCCTCCGGTTTGGCACCCCTCTTTTCTCACCAGTCCTCCCAAGCAGGAACCTGAGGGCGGAGTTATTTTTAATGACACAGAAATGGACCTCACTCCCTCTCACATGCTCTGAGCCTCGACTTCCACCACGGTTCCCACTGAAATCCCTGAACATCAGGGGAGGTGTGTGCCCAAAATACACACACCCACCCCTACGCATGAACATCCACAGCTCGCAACTCCGCTGGGGTCACCGTCACAGATGTCCACCATTCTCACAGCAGCAGAAGGGGCAGAAGTCCCCATTGATGCCAAAAGTCAGAAAGCAGGGACTCAGAAGGTCACTCAAAGTCGCCATCTACGAGGTGCAGCCCAGTCCTGGCTGTGCTAATGTTCCGTCTGTCATGCTCTATGCACAGAGAAGAAAATGACTCACCCAGCCCAAGTTTCCCGGTGTGGGGACACGGCCTGGACTGGGGGCTCCCTGACAGTCCGGGATCCGGGCATCTCTGTCTTGGTTCCTGCCCCGAGAGCAGCCCTGAGGCTACCGGATCAGCTTCCTCTTCTTCACAACAGGGACAGTGGTGGCCTCATTCTGTTCACACAAAGGCTCCTTGACAGAACTGAGCTCCACTGCAACGTCCATGGCTGACTTGAGGTGCAGAGGACCCAGCTCTGCTGAACAGGTGCCTCTGCCTTTCATCCAGCAGCCAAGGGTGCTCAGTGTTTGCACCCTGGGGCTCCCCGCAGGGCACGCAGTCGCCCTGGGGCTCCCCGCAGGGCACGCTGTCTCCCTGGGGCACCCCGCAGGGCACGCTGTCTCCCTGGGGCACCCCGCAGGGCACGCAGTCGCCCTGGGGCTCCCCGCAGGGCACGCAGTCGCCCTGGGGCACCCCGCAGGGCACGCTGTCTCCCTGGGGCTCCCCGCAGAGCACATTGTCACCCTGGGGTTCCCCGCAGGGCACGCTGTCACCCTGGGCTCCCCGCAGGGCACGTTGTCACTGTATCATCATCTGTATGTGACAGAGGTGTCACACCACCCAGCACCCACCTGCCACAGAGAAGGCCCCGTTTACCCATCGAGGGAAAAGCAGAGCCCACAACCTTGCCCACAGCAGACGCGGCTCACCTGGCTCCCACGACCAGCTCCTTCTGTCCTGGGTCGAAGGTCAACTGGGAGAAGTCCACAGCGCCCTCTGCTCGGAATTCATGCAGCCAGGGACTCATTTCTGAGGAGGAAAAGAAGCACACAGCTGGTCAGCTCCCAGGACTGTGTCCTCCCTGGACACCACGTCAGGTGGCATGCAAGGTGTTCTAGAGGGGACGCCAATGTGGCCCTGTGTGGGGCCCCTGCTGGTCCTGCCTGGCTGTGACATCACCACAAGATAGCAGGCAGCCCCCACAGAGGAGCTCCCCCAGAAGGCAGCCCCAGAGGGGGGGCAGGTCCCATGAGGTGGAGAGAGGGCAGCCCCCTCGGGGAAGCAGGCCCCATGTAGTTAGGACATCCCCCTCAAAGGAGCGCCCCTAGAAGGCAGTCCACCGGGGAATGTGCCCAGAGAGCCCCCCAGTCTCCAGGCCAGACCTGCACCCAGCTTTGGGCCCTGCCTGTAGGGAGCAGCCGACCGTTCCCTGATGCTCGGCGTCCCGAGGCTGTAAATCCTCACGAGAGGAGACTGCCCACCCTCCTCCCAAGGAGCAGCTGGCAAGTTTGAACCCGTGACCATTCTGTTACCACCACAGCACACGGGGCACTAAGCCAGCGCAGCTCTTTATTCCATCCAGGGCTCCGGAAACATCATGGAGATACGACTCGGCGGAGAGAACAGGCATGGTGCTTCCCAGAGAAACGCCAGAGTGACAAACGCCAACACTTGTCTGGGATCAGTCACGGGGGACAGCCCATGGGGACACCCTCTCCACGCACAGGAGACCGAGGTACCCAGGAGCGCAGGACAGGATGCTCTTCGGGTTAAAATGTGGGGCATGTTATAGGCTATTTTTTAAAACCCAAAGTTAATATGTTGTTGTTGTT